CACTGAAATGTGATAGTGTGGCTTTAAGCCTAAAAAATTGAAAATCTTGGTCCAGTTATTCGACATATAGAGAAAAAAATATTAAACCTGCAGGAGATTAGGTTTTCACACAAATATATAAAAAAACGAAAACACAAAGTTACTTGTCAAACCAAAGAACTGGAGTTGCGATGTTAGTATATTCCTTAATGGCTGGAATCCGTTAATACAACAGCATTTATTTAAATGGTTTTCTTGATGCATTTGTCTACTAAAGGCTTTTCATTGAAATGGTCGACTAAATTGGGTTGAAATGCAATATACCGTATACAGCACCCCTACTTTAAATTCTTTATTAGGTAAAACTTTGGGCACTGACTATTAGCGGCTAATAAAACTAAAGTTAACATTAGCTTCAGGGCCACAGTACCATGTAACAAAGTAAAAAAATGTCTCAAGAGGTCTCCAATAACACCAGAAATAGTTGCTTACTTTGTTGCCGTTGGCTCTCTTTAAATAAAAGGGTCATGGACTGAACTCAACAAACAGTAAAAAAGTTGCAAATCTAACATTAGTTGTTGCCGAATGAGTGATTCTTGATTTATAGAAGGATTGGTCTGAAAATTGATATAGTTGTGGCTCATTTTGTTAGTTGGAATTCAGCGACTATCAAATGTCATTGCTTCCTGTTTTATTTACACACACTGTTTAGATAATCAATACACTTTGTGTGTATATATATATATATATATAAAAACAAAAAAAAACTGTTTTCTCACCCCTCGTGGGGTGGTATGTGTCATCCTCAAGCTTGGGTCCTCTACCAGAGGCCTGGGAGTTTGAGGGTTCTACGCAGTATGAAATGCTACTATATATATATATATATATATATATATATATATATATATATATTAGGGGAGTGGGTGCTTTCCCTTTGATAATGGATATATTTCCATTCAGCACATTTATTGTTTCATGGGAGATATAAGATCAGTAGGGCTGCAACTAACGTTTATTTTGAAAATCGTCTATTCTGTTGATTGCTTTTTCGATTAATCGATTAATAATCCGATAGCCAAACATTCCTTAAAGAAGACTTTTTTAATGAAATTAAACCAGATGAAGCTAAAACTTTTCCACTTCAGGAGTTCTGGATAGAGCAAATTGACAGGGATATTTTTTTAACCTTAAATGCAAAATGTTTATATATATATTCTTAAGTGGGTCCTTCTGCCAGCTAAAGGAATGTTTTAGAGTCTCTATACTCCAGTTAACGATGATTCGATTACTAAATTATTTGATTATTTAATTAATCAATTAATCGTGATTAATCCAATTAATGGTTTCAGTCCTAAAGATTACTAAACATCTTTTAACCATCTAACCATCAGTGTACAGGTACAGGCTGGTGAGAAGCAACGATGAGAAACTTCATATTCCATATTCTGATCTCTGGCTTTTTCTGTAGCATTGCTTTGGATGCATAAAAGTGTAAAAACAGTAAAACAGCAGTTGTTCGCATTCTTTAAACCTTGATCTTTGAAAAATCTTAGTATGCCTTAAGTTCTGTAACCACCTTACATGTGTAGCCTAAACTAAACAATTCTACAATAAAACAAGATTATTGAAAACACAGACTGAGCTTCATAAGGTCTGTTATTTTATGAAAAAATTAAATAGGACACTTTAGGTTTTTTTGGGATTAGGATGCCCTTATTACAAAAAAAAACAGCAAGACAACAGCTTCGGTGTCCCTATGCATATCTTAAATTGTTTATCATGCAAATGATGGCACACAGGCTGCTTTGCCCTCTGCTAACGGCCTGCAGCTCCAGACAGCAGACCAAAGCCCCAGCTGCAATCAAGAGACTCCCAGCTGTCCCCTAGACATAGACCGAAAGACACAGCTCCTTTCCGGCACTGGGTCTATTGCTGAATGTCCACCCCCACCCCTACAAGTTCAGCCATCCCTTGGGTTCCAGCACCCTCTGAATCTAGCAGCCTCTTTTCTCAGCCTAAACCGAGTCCCTTTGCTTTTACAAACTGCTGTCCATATGGAAATCTATCTGTGTCAAATGACAGGTCAGTAGGAGGGAGAGGGGCAAAAGGGGGGGCACTTTCAAGTGCAGGGCTGTAACATATGTACTCTCCTGGAATGGAGCGAGAATGAAGCCAGTTTAGGGACAGTATGTATTGAGATGGCTCAGCTCGGTGTCAGACTTTAACTGAGAGGGTGAAGGAACATGGCAGCAAGCATATTGAGTGTGAGGTGGCTCACTGGCTCTGCCAGTCTGCATCCATCAATCTTGGGTGCAGAAAACAGAGGTGGTGGTGAAGGTGATGCCAGCAGCAGTGGAGGGGACTGGCTTCTTAACGCAGAGTGTTCTGCACAAACATTCTGCATTTACAGTTTAAACCTCAAATTCCCCTGCAGGTTTTTTCTTTCATTTTCTACATTTTCTCTTCTTACTCCAAAAGTTCAAAGCTTGAAACTAATCTGGTGTACAAATTATTTTTTTACACAAGCAAAACATCCCGTTGAAACAGAGTTTGTGATAGTTAATACTCAAATGGATATAGGTGTAATCACTATAAATTCAGATTTCTGAGGAAAACATGGGGTGATGCAAGATTCTTAGTGAGATAAACTTGTGTAACATTACCGCCTTTTTACAGTACTAAGTCATAAGCTATATAAAAAAAAAAAAATAGCCAAGTAAACTTGCCCCACCCGCCAGCAGCCAAAATAATTTTTGCCTGCAAGTGCTCTAGCCTCGATCAATGCCCTAGAACTGGCAGGCCAATCACAACGCATTCAAAGTTTTCTATCTAAGAAAAAACAGTTACACTAAATGACTCAAAGGCAACTCCTCACACAAAGCATGCTTGTAGCGACAGTGGAGAGGAAAAACTCCCTTAGGAAGAAACCTCCAGCAGAACCAGGCTCAGTGTGAGCAGCCATCTGCCAAAGTCGATTACCGCATTCTGGTAGACTGAGTCGAAAATATGAAATTGATTCATTTTATGATTATTTCCATGGGTCTATTGAGAAAATATCCAATTTTTTTGTCATTTTTCTCTTTATATGGGAACACTGAAGTTATAACAAGCTGATATAGTATACTAAATTTGGAACGTTCTGCTGCTCAGGTAGTCAGCCTGCAGCCGAATGCTTATGAGATATGCTAGTAAGAGGTTGCCAGCCCTGATAAGAGTCATAGAAGATGCTGTTTTAGTTCTCATGCCTAGATTGCCTTTTTGGCCAATTGAGATATAACCAAATTGCTGATTTTTCTTTTCTTGTAAATAAATGAAAAAAGATTTAGAGTTTAGAGTTCTTTCAGCCAGTAGACTGACAGTATGCAGTAAGTGGTGGTGGTGGGGGGGCTGTAATACTGAGTAAAACGAAATAGTACTTTCTTGGATCTCTATCTCTAAATGCTTTAATATAAAGAGTATAGATTTAAAACAGTTACTATTAGAAACTATTCGTATATCACTGGTATACCTTGATACTAGTAACAGGTCTGTAACTGCTACCATTAGAAAGAAAGCATTTAAATCTTTTTTTTATTTTTTTTATTTCTACCTGGGAAATTGCACAAGTAAGTAAATGCGGCAGTATTAATCAAAATATATTTTTTATTCAAGGCATTGTTTAGATAAATAATAATATATTACATTGCATTGATTATCTTACTTTGCTGCTGTGTAACATAATATTGATAATGTCAAAAGAATAAAAAATAACTATTTAACATGGAAGATACAAACAAAGCCCCCCCCAACAAAACTGTTGAGGGCCACATACGATCTTGGACCGGCTCTGCCATTACACAAAGTCCAAACAGTTTATAAGTCCAATAAATAAAGCCCTGTTCACAATGCCAGCGACCTTATGATATCATGTGAACTCCACTGCATGAAGATCTAAATTACTAAAGAAATTCATGTTTGAACAGCTGACAAAGGCAGAAGGCATGTCAGATGTGTTTATGTGTGTGTTTGTAGGGGTGCATACACAGATGTTTAACAAATTGTAAACTAAGTAACAGTGGTCATTCTGTGTCACAGGGGGAGAACTAACCCACAGAAATAACAGTAGCTTTCTACAGAAGGCCATCTGCAAATCCGTGTTTCTGCCTAATGCTGTACAGGAAAGGAAAGCCATGGAGCTCCCTCTAAACATTTAGTCTTCATTGGCTTCAAATTAAACGACAACGGTCCCAGACAATCAGCATAATCCGGCAGGCGCTATCGGCCCCCCTTTAACCAGCAGGAACAAACGTTTCAAAGTGCTGAACGAAATCAAAGAGCGCTATGTAAGAAAAAACGCCATGAGTGATGCATGCTTGTTTGCACAGCAACTTGTGTTTTCACTGCAGCCTCATTTAGCCCCCGTGGACACCCAACAAACCAACTAGCCAGCTTAAGAAGTCCTTAATTACTTCAAATCAAGAAAAACACTGACAATTAGTGGCTGAAGAGTTCCTCAAATAAACACTTATGCGCTGACAGATAATTACATTCTTCTCCATCGCTTTTTAATTTTAGAACCTCTACAGGCGCATATTTGAGGGTAAAAGAGATACAGTATGACAGAGTAATAAGCCAGTAAGGGAAAGATATACATCACTGAGCACCACATGAGAGAGAAAAAATGTATCCCCAGGATTTGAACACATCTGTGCTGCAGGACAGGCTCCCACTTTTTGGATAAGTGTCTTTGTCGGACAGCATTTTTGTCTTATTTATTAGCTCCAAATGTTTCCTTCATTTTCAGGGCGCCTGATCTTCATTTAGCTTTTAGACATAGCTGGGAAATTTTGCATTTTGCAGCAGCAAATATTTTTGCTCCTTTTTATGCTAATTTGTTAACATCCTAATAACAACAAGCAATCCAAGCAAATTTAAGGTCATATTTATATTTTCTTCTCTTTTTTTCCTCTTAAAAAGACTATGTGATCCAAGAAAGTGTGTTATCTGTCCAAGCACCCATATCAAGCTCCCTGTGTATTTACCTGTGACATTCTCCTGCTTGGGGATTATTCCTTGCAATGGTGCAGATAAACAATCCTCATCCAGAGGCGACACCTGTACAGCCACCTCCACCGGGTGACGCGCCTTCTGCGGGTACAGCTGTTGGCTTCGGGAGTGAGACGAGGAGGTGGAGAGGGGAGAGGCGAGCGGCGAGGATGGAGGCCTGTCCAGAGGCTTGTCCGAGCAGAGGCTGTCGTGGCATTGCCTCCGTTTGTGCTCGATGAATAGCAGGATGTCTGCGAGGGGGAAGCGTGTGTGGCACTGGCCGCAGGTGAGCAGGTCCGGATCCCCTTTAAGGGGCTCGTCCTGAGCCACACCCAGCCTGGAGGAGTCCTGAGAGTCTTCTTCGCCTAAAACACCTGAGGGTGGCTCCGCTGGAAAAGCAAAAAAAATAAAAAATAAAACGGGTTTTTGGTAACAAAAACAGCAGACTGGTGCAACACTGCCCTTATAAAGCATTCATAATTTTAAATATAATTTTTTCATGATATTATCTAAATGATAAATAGTGGATGACTGGGAGGTAAAGGGGAATTAAAACATGTTTTTTAAAATTTATATACAAATAAAAATCTGAAAAGTGTGGTCTGACCTAGAACGCTACTCTAACCCGTTCCTTCTGATATCCCTTAATAAAATCCATTCCAGCAACTAGAATGACCTAATTCATTAGAAAAAGGAATACTAATAGGTCAAACCTGAAAACTTACTAAGATATGGTCATTCGCCTCAATTAACAGAATGTGCAAGGAGAAGATTAAGGGTGGAGACTGTGTTAACTTTGGAGGGGCACTCAATAAGCTTACTATACCTGGAAAAGTTGTGATTGAAAAAAAAAGGCATTGTTGAAAGAAAGCTATGAAAAGCTCTCTTTGGGGCATCAAGGCGCAATCTTTAGAGGCAAAAGCATGTTTAAGAAGTTGATGTAGTCCTCTCCTACAGACTGCCACTCTGGCTCTCTGAGCAAGACCCTTAACCACACACCGCTCCCCCGGCGCCCCGTGATGGCAGCCCACTACTCCCCAAGGGGATTGGTTAAATGGAGAGGTAAATTTCTCCATTGTGAGATCAATAATGTTCAATTATCAATCATTATTAGAATGGACCACAGCTGAACTTTCTGGTCCAAATGCTCACTGTTATGTTTAAAGAAAAACTGCCATGTTATAGCGAACCATGAAACATGGCTGTGGCAGCATTGTACTGTGGAATAGTTTCTATAGCATTACAGCTGCTACTGTATAGGGAAGAAAACAACCAAATCACTGAGGCGGAGTTCAAGATTCCAGTTGAAAAATGACCTCAAAAATCTATTCAGGTCTGTAGAAACTGAAACACGGAAGAAGGTTTAAAGGGGTATGAATACTTCTGCTAAGAATGGTACATGTGAGAACAAGTGAATTGCTGTTTTTCATATTGCTAACATTTACTTATGTAGGCATCTTAAAGAGTACGGTCGGGATTTAAAGTGTAAATGTGACATTTTTTAAAGAGCTCGCAAAAGAGGAAAGATAAGAAAAGAGCAACACAGCCTGCTTCGATAAGGACTGACACGTTCAGCTTGCTGCAGCCGCCAAACGATTAAGTTGCTTGACCCTCTTTATTGTGCTGCCAATCTTGCTTTTTTAATGAACCTAACACCTCTGAGAATCAAAAAATAGATTCTAATTTGAGTTCAAAATGATTGGACCCCATTTCGTTAAAAGTGCTGGGATCTTGTGAACCAAGGTTAGACATGGAGGGGTTGGATGTGGAGTAGGTCCCTGAAGTACTGACAGATAGACAGAGAGGAGAGAGAGGCAGCTTTTAAAAAGAAGTGTTCTAGCCACATGGTAAATGACATCAGGCGCCCCAACTGGGATGTCGAGATAAGATGTGATGAATTCTTGCCGCCGCTACAACCTCTAATTCAGCGTCGGGTCAGATGAGAAGGTGGTGAGGGACTGTAGGCGAGATAGGCCCCCGTTATTTGTAAGTTTGACTGCATTAAAGATGAAGGAATGCAGGCCGCCTATTTCACTGAGGCTTATCTAAACCGATTTGTGCTATGGATGCAGGCGAAGGTGTGTGAGGTTGGGTTAGAAACATTTCTCGTTTTTCCAAAGGAAGGAATCTTATTGTGATGCCGAAGACGAGTCATGTGAATGAAAACCTTTTTTTTTTTTTTTTTTTCCAGACACTTCTTACTGAGCTAAATTTTAAGTAGTTTAGGTCATCTCCCACTGGACCTCTGCTGCAGCTCATGTCTTTGATTATAAGGAAAATCATTTAGCCTATTTCACTTTGCCAGTTAAGGCCAACATTACTCGGTGGATCAATAATATCCTTTGACTTAATTCCTGAAAAATGGCAAATGTTTTTCATTTAAATTTTATTTTTCAATCATTTGTTATATTACAAAAAGTTATATTACAAAAAGTTTCCCTTTTGCAGATTACAAAGCAAAAAAT